ATCTATCCCAAAGGACTTGGATTATGGTGATATTCTTATTTGTCTTGCTAGCAGAATTGTCACAATTCGCAGAAGGCAAACATACAGGCATAGTATGAAATAAAACACTGGAGATAGCCGTATAGGAAGTCAAAGTTTAAAGTTCAATTCTGGAGATAGGAAGTCAAGCACGCAGTGGGGAAATAGTTCATTCGTGAAATGCATGAAGCGTGAAATACCTGTGTGAATATGCTATTTACAGATTGTAAATAGAGCTAGGTTACAGAAGTGCTCTGACAGTGTTTCTTCCAGACTTTTTTCTCCGGGGGGGGGGGGGGGGAGGCACTTGAAATTTTCGGGGGGGGGGGGGGTAGACTCTTTTCGGGGGGGGGGGGGGTGCGGACACTGTTAAAAGTATATATTTTCTATATATGTTTCATTTCGTTGGGGGGGGGGGGTGGGGGCGGTAGACTTTCTTCGAGGGGGGGGGGGGGGGGGAGGGCTCCGCCTCGAAGATATGCCTGGAAGAAACTCTGTGCACATGTACATAGTATCATCAGCGGACTATATAATGGACAAAAACATCAGCTTGTGATAATGATTGTAATTTTTTTTTCACCAGAAAACGACACTCTGTATATGACAGTCGATGAGTTAAAAGATCTGAGTCAAGCTATGTTGAAAGAGCTAAAAGATCTGAGGCTGGCTGTGAAGGAGTTAAAAGATCTGAGTCTGGCTGTGAAGGAGTTAAAAGATCTGAGTCTGGCTGTGAAGGAGTTAAAAGATCTGAGTCTGGCTGTGAAGGAGTTGAAAGATCTGAGTCTGGCTGTGAAGGAGTTGAAAGATCTGAGGCTGGCTGTGAAGGAGTTAAAAGATCTGAGTCAAGCTATGAAGGAGTTGAAAGATCTGATCGCCGTCGCCAACAACGCGATTGACTACAGCCACCAGGCGACTGATAGAATGTATTTGATGATCTTCATATTTCTTTCTGTCGTCGGACTACTAGGTAGGATTGGATTTCTAGAGTTAACAAAAATAGATATAGTAACTAAGTGACAGTCGTGATTATGGGAATCCATGGGGATACCTGACTCGCTTTAGGGAAAATAAAGACAGCTTGTCATATCCCTTCATATGCCGAGATCACCGAAACAGATGAACTCTACTTAAGAAGCGAGGGGCGTTGACGCCGTAATGTATGTGGCCCAATCTTCTGATGCGACAGTACATCGTTAGGTCTCATGAAAAGATACATATTCTTGATTTAAATTTCAGGGGACGGCGTGATCGAGTCGGTAGAGTTCATCAAAAATCCAAAATGAAAAGCAGGCTGAAATCTGAGTCAAAGGCGCTAACTAGTTGACACATAATAATTAATTGTGTTGGAGGGGATCCCTTCCAACACTAAAATTATGAACGAAGAAAAACAAGATGAAAAGAAAGTGTCAACTCATTAAATGTGTAACTTAAAAACATAAATTCAATCTATAAAGGATTTTTGAAAGAGAAAAAAAATAAAATAAATAAAATACTGGATTGAGTCAACATAACTCAGATGGTGGTTTTAATGTCCACCTTCTTTATGTTAGCTGTAATGAGAAGCTAAGAAATTTGTAACAATAGAACTTATTTTAAACATTGTTATCATGCATGGATTACTGAAACAAAGAAAACTTACACACGGCAGTAAGCGGGTTTGAATCACAAGATGAAATCACGCTATTCCTGGACGCACTAGAGAAGAATTACCTTTTGGTATGCTTTTACTTTAAACCACAAAAAAGAAGAATTAGCAAATAATTAAAAATAGCAAAAGAGATTTAATATTAAACTCCATGGAAAGGAAATCAATATTTTCGCATTTAACGAAGACAAATAAATCTTGGAAACATTGACATGTTTGAGAAACTCTTTAGAGTGTTTGACGAATCTGAACGTGAATTATTGAAAATTCGAAAGATAAATTAATGTGAATCTTGAATGAAAAAGGAACTTGAGAGTTGAATTCCTCAGCTGAAAGAAGAAGAAAAAGCTACTCTGATACACAATCGATTCAATGTTTCTTAAATGTAGTCAGCATTCCCGATGATGTAGTACAGGGGTCTCCAAACTTTTCAGTCCAAGGGCCGCATTAACTATGAAATTTCAGTTCGGGGGTTAGTTTTTTCCAGGCATGTCTTTGATTTTTCTGCGAAAAGTTCCATCGGCAATCACCGACAAACGATTTTTCCTTCGACAAAAAGATCTCCGCGGGCCGCATGAGGAGACTTCACGGGCCGTAGTTTGGAGACCCCTGGTGTAGTAGATGCTTTATGGGATTTGTGCTTTAATTGTACGTGACTCACGTTAGGGAAAGTAGAGTTGGCTGGGCCTAGTGTTGACCACAATATCCCTTCATATGCCGAACTTACAGACATGGGTGAACTCTATATCATTTGCTTCATCGCCAGGGTAGAAAAGTAAACTTTCTTGGCTTACTTGGATTTGTTAAGTAATTTTTCGGCCCATAACATAGTGACACCGTGTTAGGATACATGCCTTTCGTGTTGTAGTTCCATTTTTTATATTTACATCTGCAAGCGTAGATTTTCAAGAGTGCATTATTACATAAAAGCTTGTTATTAAAACGTTTCTTATGAATTAAAATAAATAAATCTAGGACTACTTTATTACACATTTAAAACAAGGAACGACAGGGAATGATGAATGATCTTCGTCTAATCATACCTGTCGCACACTTGGATTATGGAGCAGGAGTTGTTTTTTATGTGAGACCAATGGCTGAAGGAGAATTCCATGACAGACATCCCTCTGATGGATGCCGTGAAGGATGTAAAGGCCTCTAGGATAACTTTTGGGCCGTTTGGCACTGACCTTGCTACATATAACAAGAGCGAGTCTGCTGATCCGGCCTCTGTTTGTGCAGCTGTATTGGTTGATGTGCCGGTTGATGTGCAAGTTGATGTGGCGGTTGATGTGGCGGTTTATGTACCGGTTGATGTGCCGGTTGATGTGCAAGTTGATGTGGCGGTTGATGTGGCGGTTGATGTGCAAGTTGATGTGCAAGTTGATGTGGCGGTTGATATGGCGGTTGATGTGCAAGTTGATGTGCAAGTTGATGTGGCGGTTGATGTGGCGGTTGATGTGCAAGTTGATGTGGCGGTTGATGTGGCGGTTGATGTGCAAGTTGATGTGGCGGTTGATGTGCAAGTTGATGTGGCGGTTGATGTGGCGGTTGATGTGGCGGTTGATGTGCAAGTTGATGTGGCGGTTGATGTGGCGGTTGATGTGCAAGTTGATGTGGCGGTTGATGTGCAAGTTGATGTGGCGGTTGATGTGGCGGTTGATGTGCAAGTTGATGTGGCGGTTGATGTGGCGGTTGATGTGCAAGTTGATGTGCAAGTTGATGTGGCGGTTGATGTGCAAGTTGATGTGGCGGTTGATGTGCAAGTTGATGTGGCGGTTGATGTGGCGGTTGATGTGCAAGTTGATGTGGCGGTTGATGTGGCGGTCGATGTGCACGTTGATATAGCGGTTGATATGCCGGTTAAGGTGCCGGTTGATGTGATGGTTAAGGTGCCGCTTGATGTGATGGTTGATGTGGTGGTTGATGTGTCACTTGATGTGCCGCTTGATGTGCCAGTTGATGTGGCGGTTGATGTGTGAGTTGATGTGCCGTTTGATATGTTAGTTGATGTGGTGGTTGATGTGCAAGTTGATGTATCAGCTGATGTGCCGGTTGATGTGGCGGTTGATGTGTTAGTTGATGTGCCGGTTGATGTGGCGGTTGATGTGGCGATTGATGTGCCGGTTGATGTGCCGGTTGATGTGCAAGTTGATGTATCAGTTGATGTGCCGGTTGATGTGGCGGTTGATGTGGCGGTTGATGTGGCGATTGATGTGCCGGTTGATGTGCCGGTTGATGTGCAAGTTGATGTATCAGTTGATGTGCCGGTTGATGTGGCGGTTGATGTGGCGGTTGATGTGTTAGTTGATGTGCAAGTTGATGTGCCGGTTGATGTGGCGGTTGATGTGGTGGTTGATGTGCCAGGTGATGTGCAAGTTGATGTCTCCAAAAGTCTCAATTTGGAATCCTTGTTCAAGTCAGTAGACCGTTAGGGAAAGTAAAGGCAGTGGGGCATAGTGCTGACCACACTATCTCTTCATATGCCGAGGTCAAAGAAATAGGATAACACTACTTCACTTGCCCCATGGACCGTCAGGATCGAAAGGGAACTTAAGATTTTTTTTATAGATCTCCAGTTCTTTAGGCGAACGAAAGCAGCTGCTGGTGTTCATACCTCTCCATACGCTAGTACAATAATGACCTGTAGGTCAAACCAGTGCCGGTGCCAAGTTATCTAGGGCCCTAGGCAAAACTTATTACAACGCCCTCCCCCCCCGCATTTTTCGGTCACCCTTATATATATATATGACCCCCCCTAACCCCCCCTGCCTACGCCACTGATATGATGTTGTAATACGGTGAAAACTGTCAAGAAGTCATGTGATTTTTTTTGCGCGATTACAATGCTTCCCGATTCTCTGCATACGAGAAAGTAAAAAGGCAGTGTGACTTTTAAAAACAGAGTTTCTTCCAGGCCTCTCTGAAATTTTAGTCCGCCCCCCTCCCCCGAAAATTTTAAGTGCCCCCCTCCCGGAGAAATAGTCTGGCAGAAACACTGGTTAAAAAGCGCTCGACCTTTTCAAATAAGGAGATCAAAGATTTGAGAATGTCCCAAACTTGTCCTCTTTTTTGATAATCAAATATGTTGGCGTAATCATATTGCACTAAATATATTCATGTAGCGAGGAATTTTTAAAACATTTTGCTTTAGATCCTCTGTGTTTGTATGTGCCTGGCTGCGTGTTAATGAAGTTTTGTTTTGTTATGATTTTTCAATACTCGCTTTCCATGTTAACAATTTTATTTAAATGTTTCTAAAAATAAACTTCCGATTAATCTCTAAACCTCTTTATCATGTTTTGTTTGTTGAAATTTTTGACGCATTGCCATAATAAACATAGGCGACAGGAAACAGCTAGACTAGAACTAATACACAACAGTCTAGATATAATTTATTAAAATGGTAAGTGTAAGGATTATTTTTTTGGTTTGTTTGGGACACGCTAACCTTTCCGCAATAAATGGCGGTTGTATGTGATTTGGCATGGAATCAAACATTGATCAGTAACTTAGAAATCAAGAAAAAGCATTCATAAGTACATGACCTAGTTGAGATCATCCTTCCATCATTATTGTTGACATGGATATGAAGCGTTTTTTTTTTAGATTTTGCCATCAAAGCAAATGTAAAAAATTAAAATCATTAAGAAATTTAACATATTTAGAATCAATATTAAAATAGTTGCAAATCCAGAGATACGAAAATAATTTTTTTGGGTTTAGATTGAAGCTACATTTTTTTAAATTTTCATTTAGCCTATGTTACAACCTGAAGTTTTATAATATTCACGATATTCCGAAAACCAAACGTTCTAGTAATTTGTTATACAAATATTTTATATATGAGAGATGGCTATGTATAGAAATGTTATATAATCTAGATCTAGGAACAAAATGTCCCAATTTGTCAAGAATAATATGTGCTTCTTTACTGGCCAGATAGCCACATAAGAATCTGTTATATTTATTTACTTTGAATACAATGGATTCAGTCAACAATTTGTACCGTAATCACATCAAATGGGTCATCCATAAATGACGTTAAGCTTTTTTGACGATTTTTTCCTCCACCCCCACCCTCCCCTCCTTCACACAAACAAAGCCAGACCACCACCCCCTAAAATGACGACACACCTCAGCCTACATCCCCCCCCCCCAATCAAATTGCAGTTGAACTTTTCTTAAAACATCCATATTTTCCCAAACTCTTGTCAATGTATTTTATCTGTACTACTTTAAGTAGTCTATTTGTAGTTAAATATGCTACTTTACAGTAGACTACTTGTAGTTTAATCTGATTACTATGTGCTACTTTACAGTAGACTCCAGGGGTCTCCAAACTTTTCAGTCCGAGGGCCGCATTAACTATCAAATTTTGTTCGGGGGCCAGTTTCTTCCATGCATGTCATTGATTTTTTCTGGGTAAAGTTCCTCAACCATCACCAACTAACGTTTTTTCCGTGGACAAAAAGATCCCCGCGGGCCGGATGAGAGGACCTCGCGAGCCGCATCCGGCCCGCGGGCCGTAGTTTGGAGAACCCTGCAGTAGACTGTTAAATATGCATTCTGTATGCTACTTTACAATAGACTACTGGTAGTTTGATGTGTGTACTATGTGCTACACAATAGACAACTCGCTGTTAATTGTTATTACTACTATTAATGGCTCTTTTTTGTGTCCCTAAAATCAAATATGTCCCACCCCCACTAAAGTTTTACACTGATTTCGAATCAACCCCCCCCCTCTCCACCTACTTTATCTTGTTTTCCAGATGACATCCATGTTGATGACGAGGTACACGAGTACAGCCGTCTTGTTGCTGGGACTTTGGACACTCTCTTCAAGCGGCGAGGTTAGCCAGAACTCTAGTTATGGAACCTGCAGCGCCCCTACGTCTCAGAATGGCGCTCTTCCCCTGACACCGACTTTCGGTATGTCTGTGTCTATGTCTTGTCTATGTCTTGGCTATGCAGTAGCGTCATACAGGGGAGGGGGTGCGGTCTGTACCGGGTGACACCGTTTAAGGGTGACACCATTTATGAGTGACACCATTTAAGGATGACACCTATCTAATCGGAAAATCGTAGAATTTTATTGTCAAAACAATATTTTAGCTAGTTAAAAAACAAAATAGTAGGGGTAGAGGGGTGACGACCAATCGAAAATGCTAACTAGGTGAAGGGTGTGGGGGTGACATCGTTAGTTTTCGCACCGGGCGTCACCCAATCTATTGACGCCACTGTGTCTGTCTATGTTTAAGTTTTTGTCTATGTTTCAGTTCAACAAACCTCCGAAACAGGCACACCTTGTATGATTTTATTATTATTATTAAAACTTATATCCCCAGTTTCTAAAATTAACTATGCACATGTATACAGTATCATCAGTGGACTATATAATAGACAAAAACATCAGCTTGTTATACTGATTGTAATCGTTTTGTTTCTCACCAGAAAACGACACTCTGCATTTGACTGACAGTGAGTTGCACGATCTGATTGTAAAGAAGTTAAAATATCTGAATCTGGCGATTGATATGATGCTATGGATGATAGTGATATTATTTTTGGCCCTCGGCCTACTGAGTAAGGATTGGATTTCTAGACTTAACAACAATAGATATATTTAATAAGAGAAAGCTGTGATTATGGGAATCCACGGGGATTCCTGACTTACTTTAGGGAAAATAAAAACAGCTGGACATATCCCTACATATGCCGGGGTCACTGAAACATATTATGAACTCTACTTAAGAAGAGAGGGGCGTTGACAACATAATGGGTTTGGCCTGATTTTCCAATGCGACCGTTTACCGTGACGTCGAATGACAAAATACCCATACTTTAATTACATTTCTTTAAAAATATCCAGGTCTAAACCTCTACAAGATTGTCATGGAGCTGGAATTATGCGTCACCGGTTCAGGGCAATTATCCCTAGGTTGCTCATGTGTAGTTGTCAATGCAGTTGAAGCAGCCAAAATAAATTCTATTTCACCTGACCAATCAATGCCGGGGACAGCTGAGGTGCCCACCAATAGGAGCGAGTCTGCTGACCCTGCCGGTTTGACTATCGCTGTGCCGGATGGTGTGCCGGTTGGTGTGCCGGATGGTGTGCCGGTTGAAGTGCCGGTTGGAGTGCCTGTTAATGTGCAAGTTGACGAGCCGGTCCCTGCATCCATAACTGACAACACAGCTAGCCTGGTTACAATGAGAACAAAAAGCCACAAGTAAGTTGTTTGATTTGTTTCAAGGCTTACCTTAAGTTGTTTGATTTATTACAAGGCTTACCTTAGTTGTTTGATTTGTTACAAAACTTATCTTAAGTTGTTTGATTTGTTTCAAGGCTTACCTTAAGTTGTTTGATTTATTACAAGGCTTACCTTAGTTGTTTGATTTGTTACAAAACTTACCGTAGTTGTTTGATTTGTTTCAAGGCTTACCTTAAGTTGTTTGATTTATTACAAGGCTTACCTTAGTTGTTTGATTTGTTACAAAACTTACCGTAGTTGTTTGATTTGTTTCAAGGCTTACCTTAAGTTGTTGGATTTGTTACAAAACTTACTCAGGATTCCTGCGGCCTACTGAAACTTCTGGATTTCCTGGAATTCTCATTGAATTTGAACATTTCTCCTGAAATTTTAAAAATGTCCTGAAATGTTACTCGCGTCGATCATTTCAATGTGTTTTTTTTTCGTGCTAAATAGGCAATCGGATATGATCGATTCTGTGCCTAAAATGCAAGAACTTTTAAATATAGATCTATAGCTGACGTAAAACAACGTCCCCGTGGGTTTGGTTTAATTTTTTTCATGTCTTCCTACGAGTGTGGCTAATTTTGATAGGCCTGTAGTTCTTTTTTTTTTTAAATTGGTATTTTCAAGTAAGCTTACATACAGTTTTAGCAAAGGTAATTTGGTTAAATTGTCCGTTAGGCCCTAACTCTACTTTCTATTATATGCGCGTGGTAATACTAGATTTACCCCCCCCCCCCCATCCCGCATCTCAGTTTCTGTTTCTCAAAACTCGAGACAACTAACCCCTTGACCGTGTTATATGAGGTTCTATACTTACCAGAAGGACTATTTTTGGCCCAAACGTTTTGTATTTTCACGTTTTATTTCCAAAATGCAGTTTATTTTTAGTAACATCTCTTAAGAATTTTCTTCCTACAGGGTATGAGAGGGGGTGGAGGGTGGGGGTGGGGGGCCCATTTCGTCATCTTTTCTATTTTTTTTTGTGCCCCAGAGACATGGGTACCCAACAGAAAGCTCCCTCCACTTGTGTCCAATTAATTGATATTAAAGCTGTTTCTTTCAGGCACCTCTTTGAGGGCTAACTGCCCCACCCCTCCTGGGCCTGACTCAATAAAAATAATATAACATTCATTTAGAAATACATACTGTAACCAGTGTCCGCCCTCCCGGAAATTTAGGTACGCCCCTCTATTCAAAAGTTTTAATTACCCTAACCCCTCTTGGAGAAAAATGTCTAAAATAAACATTACTTTTAAGATCGACGTACTAAATTTTATTGGAGAATTTTGATATTGGACCGGTACATTGATTGTGACTTGTTATTAGTTTTTCCTGTTAACTAGTTCATGTAAATCGTTTAATTATTTTTTCCAGCTGTGATGTTAGAGAGGATGATGATATACTGGTGCCATAATCACTTTGAGTTCCAGAAAGTACCCAGCCTCGACTGAGATTCATTCCTTCCCCTAGGTTAGCTTTATACGTCTTAAAGTGCCCTATTCAATGTACACCCCCAGCTATATTTCTTCTATTTGCATGAATTGTTTATTTTAAAAAAAAATGCATTGTTTTGAAAAAATATATTCTCCCTAATCAAACTATTAAATTTCTTGTGTTCTAAGTGCACCAATCAAATGTAATCCCCCCCCCCCCCCCTCAGCTACATTTTTTAAATAAGCATTTTTTAAATTATATTGAAAATAATATTGAATTGTTTTAAAACTTAAAGTATTGTCCCCATTTAAACTAGTACGCGCTAATAAAATCAGGTTGTTTGACTAATCTCAGAAATATATTGCAATAATTATAATGTGTGTTAGAATGTTGACATCACTACATAGACGTTTAGGATGATTATAATGCAGATGTTTACATTTACCTTTATAACGAATTTTTTAAAGTTTTTATTTACTTAAACGTATTTGATGATTAAATTATAAAATGTGGCCATAACTATACATACGCTAAAGATGTATATAATTTAGATGTTTACATTTACCTTTATAACAAAGTTTTCTTTGAATTAAAAAAAGATATTTTTACGTATTAGATGATTAAATGAGATGAAGTTAAATCTTTTGTTGATTTTATTTTAAATATCGTTCCATAAAAACATTTTTTTAAAAAGTTTTTTTTTCTATTAAAATGAGACTATTATTGTTATAAAAAAAACCCACCAATATTTTAAACAGCGTGGTCAAATCGGTACAGCTTATAGTTACCGCACCGACCAGTCTCGAGTTCAAACACCCGGACAGATGAGACTCGATAGCTGGGGCCAGCAACTTTTCTAGGAGTGGCAACTCCAAAATCAAACAACTACTGCCTTGTAGTTTGTTCTTGGTTAGACAGAGGCTATGAAAGCAAATCAAAATGGAAATGCAGGCTGAAATCGGAGTCAATGGCCTATATGACCCATACATAGTTAACACAAAATAATTAATTGTGTTCGAGGGAAATCCTTACAATACTAAAAATTAAGAACGAAGAAGAAGATAAACAGAATGTGTCAATTCATTAAATATGTAACTTAAATATATAAATTCAATCCAAAAAGTATTTTGATACAATTAAAGAAGAAAAAATAAAAATAAAATAAAAACACTACATGAAGTCAATAAAACTCAGAATGTGGTTTTAATTTAAAACGTCTTTATGTAATGAGAAACTAAGCAATTTGGAACAATATAAATCTTTTTAAACATTGTGATCAAGCATGCATTACTGAGAAAAAAAAGCTTACAAACTGCAGTAAACGAGCTTGTTAACTGAGTGTTTGATTCACAAGATGAAATCAATCTATTCATGATGATGTTTTGGTGCAAAAAGTGGAATTTGGCAGAAAATTAAGAATAGGAAAAGAGATTTAATATTAAACTCTAAGGAAAGAAAAAAAATACTGTCGCCTTTAACGAAGAAAAAATAATCTTGGAAACATTGACATGTTTAAGAAAGTGAATTATTGAAAATTTGAAAGAAAAATCAATGTGTACCTTGAATGAAAACGTACTTGAGACCGTTTACCGTGACGTCGATTGAAAAAATAACTATACTTCAATTATATTTCTTTAAAAATATCTAGGTCTGTACTTCTACTAGACCGTCATGGAGCGGGAAGTTCAGCCGCCCCAGAACACCTCATACAGCTGAAAGAAGAAGAAAAAGCTACCCTGATACACAATCGATTTAATGTTTCTTAAATGTGGCCAGAATTCCCGATGAAGTACGAGATTTCTTGGAATTGTGCTCTGATCGTACCTGATTCACAATAGGGAAAGTAGAGTTGACTGGGCCTAGTGTTTACTACACTATCCCTTCATATTCTGAGCTTACAGAAACGGGTGAACTCTATATAATTTGTTCCATCGCCAGGGTAGAAAGGTAAACTCTTTGACATTTTTACTGACACATAGTGACAACGTGTTAGGATACATGCCTTTCGTGTTGTAGTTCTATTTATTTATACTTGCATCTTCAAGCGAAGATTTTCCACTCTTGTGCATCAAAACAAAAAATTAAATGAATTAAATTAGTGAAACCTAGAATGTTATATCATAACATAACATAATAAAAAAAAAACGTTAAAATAACAAGCTTTTTATATAGCTCTAGCGTTATTAGGTCGGTGTCACCCAGTGCGGTACCTCGTTCCTAAAGCGCGCGCACACACTCACAAACGCAAACTTCATTTCAGCATGGTTTCTTACCAATGAGTCCTGATTATCTTTTGCAGTTCTTTTGCTACGGACTACATGTCATAGTTTAAAAAAAACATATTCATGTATACACCCTCACTAGACTACCAACCCAAAAGTCTCGAATTCGAATCCTTGTTCAAGTCAGTAAGGTGTTGCTGTGTCCACCCAGCTCAAATAGCTACTTACCTTATGTTACGGAGAGTAAAGGCAGCTGGGCATAATGATGACCCCACTATCTCTTCATATGCCGAGGTCACAGAAATAGGTCAACACTACTTCACTTGCCCCATGGACCGTCGGGATCGAAAGGGAACTTGACATTTTTTTATAGATCTCCAGCTCTTTAGGCGAATGAAAGCAGCATTTAATCTTCAGGCCTCTCCATACGCTAGTGCAATATTGTCTAATTGTGCTCAGCAAGGCGTTAGCTGGTATCCGCCTTTAGGTTTAAATTATACACCAGTAGGTCAAAGATTTGAGCATGACCCTAACTTGTCCTCTTTTATGATAATCAAATATGTTGGCGTAATCATATTGTACTAAATATCGACATGTAGCAAGGAATTTTTAAAACGTTTTGCTTTAGATCCTCCGTGTTTGTATGTGCCTGGTTGTGTGTTAATGCGGTTTTGTTTTGTTATGATTTTTTAATACTTCCCATGTTTGCAATTTTTAAAAAATGTTTCTAAAAATATACTTCCGATTAATCTCTAAACCTCTTTATCATGCTTTGTTGTAATATTTGCTAAAATAAACAACGACGACATACTATACCTAAGACTTGAGTTTCACTAGAGTCCAGATCTAAATTATTAATATTGTAAGTGTAAGGGTAAGTAATTTATTGTTTGGGACACGGTAACCTTTCCGCAACATATGGCGGTTGCATATGATTTGGTATGGAATCAAGCATTGATCAGTAACTTAGAAATCAAGAAAAAAAACTTTCAAAGGACATGGACGAGTTGAGAGAATCCTTCCAACGTTATTGTTGACATGCATAAGAATCGTTTTTTAAATTTATATTTTGCTATCAAAGCAGTCGTATACAAATGTAAAAAAATAAATAAATGACAATAGTTAAGAGATGTAATATTTTTGGATCAATGTTATAAAAGTTGCAAAAACAGTGTGACGCCACATCATCTGACCCCCCCTTCATCACATCCCGTCAATAAATTAAGGACCCCCTTCCCCTACGAGTGTGACGTGATATATGGACGACCCCAAAGTCTCTGCTCTCTACGTTGAAGTCAAAACGTATATTTCAACAACTAATAGCAAGTCACTTCATTTCTAACCAACCCAAGCTAAAGAGAACGTACATTATGCGTTGTATAATAATTTGTTTCGTTTTTAAGTGTTAAAAGATTTATCTACTCACCAGTTCGGTGTAATTATTTCTACTTTACGTTGGCGAAATAGCTTTTCACTTACACATCTTGAAAATAGGCGGTGAGCGTTTTTTTAACAGTCTCTGATTGTTATGGGTATTTATTTTACCGTAACTTAAATCACAGTGGGAAACAGTTAAAGCTGTGTGTAAAACCTATTACCCGTCTGTTTCATTAACTTTGTATAACTTAATAGCTGATTAAAAATGAGATTTTTAATCTTTTTAACCCAAACCCCGTTTAGGTGCCATCACATGTTTAAGAGATATGGTCGTTAAAAATGTATGGGTGTACTACTTTACAGTAGACCAAGTGTAGTTAAATGTGTGCACTATATGCTACTCTACAGTAGACTACTTGTAGTTTAAATTAAGCACTGTGTGCTACTTTACAGTAGTCTACTTGTAGTTTGATGTGTGTACTATGTGCTACTTTACAGTAGACTGTTAAATATGCAATATGTGTGCAACTTTACAGTACTCTACTTGTAGTTTGATGTGTGTACTATGTGCTACTTTACAGTAGACTACTTGTAGTTTAATGTGTGTACTATGTGCTACTTTACAGTATACTGTTAAATATGCATTCTGTGTGCTACTTTACAGTAGTCTACTTGTAGTTTGATGTGTGTATAGTGTGTTACTTTACAGAAGAGTACTTGTTGCTACGTGTTAATACTACTTTCAAATCCACCATAATGGCTTTTTTGTGTCCCTAAAATCAAATATGTCCCCCCCCCAAAGATTTACACTGATTTCGAATCAACCCCCTCCCCTCTCCACCTACTTTATCTTGTTTTCCAGATGACATCCATGTCTATGACGAGGTACACAAGTACAGCCGTCTTGTTGCTGGGACTGTGGACACTCCCTTCAAGCGGCGAGGTTAGCCAGAACTCTAGTGATGGAACCTGCAGCGCCCCTACGTCTCAGAATGGCGCTCTTCCACTGATACCGACTTTCGGTATGTCTGTGTCTATGTCTTGTCTATGCAGTAGCGACATACAAGGGGGGGGGTGTGGTCTGTACCGGGTAACACAATTAAAGGGTTACCTCTAGCTAATATAAAAATCATAAAACTTTAGAGTCAAAACAATGTTTTAGTTAGTTAAAAAAACGAATTAGTATGAAATGCTAACTTGTTGAAAGAGGTGGAGGTGAGATCCTGAGTTTCAGCACCGGGCGTCACCCAATATGTTGACGTCGCTTAGTCTATGTGTAAGTCTTTGTTTATGTTTCAGTTCAACACACCTCCGATAATGGCACAACTCATCTAATTTTATTAGTATTACTAAAACTTATATCCCCAGTTTCTAAAATTAACTATGCACATGTACATAGTTTCACCAGCGGACTAAATAATAGACAAAAACATCAGTTTGTGTTTGTGGATTGTAATTTTTTTTTCACCAGAAAACGACACGGTGTATCTGACTGTCAATGAGTTAAAAGATCTGAGGCTGGCTGTGAAGGAGTTAAAAGATCTGAGGCTGGCTGTAAAGGAGTTGAAAGATCTGATCGCTGCCGCCAACAACGCGATCGACTACAGC